AAATAGAAACCGCTGGGATTATGTTCCATGTAAATGCGAGAGTATAGATTCAATATCCTCGATCTGAACGCCAGCATCGTGCAACTCCATTTGCTGCTCCTCACTCGTGTTGGATTTCTGCGGCGTATTACTATGTATGTAAGAAGCGGAAGAAGAGTTTGATTCAATATATGATAGAAGAAGATAGCAATAGAGACTGTATGGCATAATCTATTTATTAATCAGAGTAAGACAGTTTGGCATACAAATCTTGTTAGTTCGTTTTTGACAGAGTTAATCATTTGCATATACAACAAACTAGATTCAGAACAAACTACATATTTTCACAGAAAAAGAAATTCATTTTTACAATTTCTGCCTCTCTTGTTCAGTAAATGATTTATATGATTTGGACAGCGCCTTTATTCATTTGACAATGAAGAACCACTATTTGCGTATATAATACATATACATACCTTCGACAAGGTTTCGAACTTCGAAGGCCTCTGTAGCCCGCGCTAGACTAATAAGCTAGTTTTAATTTTTATATTAACTTCGAACTTCTAAATGAATAAATTAATAAATATTGACAAATTTAAATTGAACAAGTAAGAAGACTCTAGTCGAGACTGATCAACTAGGAAATACCCTGAACCCTCTAATCTGATATTCTAATCACTCGGCATTTCTTTTCGGCAGAACATAATCATAATGTTTAACTGTATATACATTCCAAAGCACAAGTCTCTAGTACTCGAAATACGCCTTTTACAAAGGTGAGGGTGAGGGGGTGGATATARGGGTGGGGGGTAAATTACAACAAAAATCGAAATTTATATAATACATATAAATCTACATTTAAAATTTGCAAGCTCTAGCTCTAAAGGTGTAGGAGATAAGGTATTTGATCGATAATAAAATATCGGGATATGTGCGATATACACGGACCTAGGAAAAACAATTTCAAGTCTCCAGCTCTTATATCTTCTGAGACCGACGCGTTCATACATACGGACGGACGGACAGACAGACGGACATACTTTTAACAAAACCAATATACCCTAATTTCCCATTTTCAATGGGTTCAGGGTATAACAAGTAAGAAAGCTCTAGTCGGTGGTGCCCGACTATTAGAAGCTCGGTCAATTTACTCTTTAGCTTGTATGTAACAAACATTTTCGAACTCGACAATTCAACGTCAAATTTTCCAAAAGAAACAAGTGATAGTAGACACTGCTCGACTGGGAGATACCCTGAACCCTGCAATGAAATGATATTCCAATCACTCTGCACTTCATTTATACACACATTCAAAAACACATGACACATACATATGTATGTATGTACATACATCCACGCGTACTTATAAGCACGCGCTATGCTAATTGTGCAGTTTACATAGACTGCGCTTGGTTTGCGCTGCAGTGTTGGCATTATTATGAAAATTTATTCGCTGAATCATTTAATAGAAATAGTAGGACTATCTTTATGAAACTTTCAGAAAAAATGTGTGTATATTTCAAAGGAGAAGTCTCTAGTACTTGAAATACGTGTTTTTACAAATTGGAGGCAAAGGGGCCGTGGTATCCAAAGCCTGTAAATGTTTATACACAGTAAGTCTGAAAGTCAAATAGTATTCAAATTACGCCGAAAAAAACGAAATAAATTTATCAATTATCCTCGATAAAAAAAGAGATCGGATCAGTTTTCGTAAAAATATAATAAACTTGTACGGCGTATGGTATACAGGAGTATGCATGCTCTTATACATATGTATGTATCTTCCGCGATCTCGTCGGTAATACGGACATACGCACATGGCTATATCGGTTCAGCTCGTCGCCCTGATTAAGAATATACATATACATTATAGGGTCTGCCACGCCTTTTTCTGCATATTATATACATTTTCACAAAATAATTATATATTGAATTCCGATTTTCAATGGGCTCATGGTATAGAAACAACAAAGCAAAAATCTCTTCGGCAAGGCATGTCATCTCACTTTCTCAACTTGGTCAATGTAAAAACATTGGTAATATTGCGAGCCAGTGTAAGAAATTTTTAAATTATTTGAAACAATCTTGATGATATATTCATATACGAAGTTTAAAATCTATATCTCTTATGGACTATGAGAACGACGTGCTCACACATAAGCATAGATAAATGGACGAACCTGGATCATGATACGCCGATTTCCCTTCTTAAATGGGTTCAGTCCATTCTTCAATGCATGGGAATTGAAAGTAAACTATATTATTTAATCTTTAATTCAGTCCAAACTAATGACGATATAAAATGTATAAGCAATCCTTGTAGCGATGCCATAAACTACGTCATGGGTCGTATAATGCTGACTATCGATTTAATTTACCTTTAGCAGTAGAGGTAGCGCGATTATCATTTTAAATTAAGGTTTTACTTACATCGAGGCCACTTCCATGTCGTTATCATCGTGCTCCTCGACCTGTGTATTCGTGGCTAACGGCGTGGATGACGCCATGGGCATGTCCTGGGCCGCTGCCAGCTCCTGGATGCCACTGCCTACACTGGTGAAGCGAATGATGCGTTTCTTGGGTATATTGCGTATACTAGTGGAGCTCGCATTGTCGTCGGTGGCGTCCAGTGACTGATGGAGCACCTGTGGACTCGTTATGCGTACGCTGTGCATTTCGTTGTCGACCATGATGCGCATTTGAAAATTCTTGAAGAACGCGGGCGGCTGACGTAGCACAGGTTTCGTCGGCTTGCTGCCACTGTCCTCATAGGCAAAGCTATATGTGTTGGCCACATGACTGCTTGTCAGGCACATATTTAGATCGTAGTCGCCACTGGCATCAGGAGCTGCGCTCGATGCAGGCGGTTGACTCCGGGGCTGCAGCTGTTCGGCTGACTGCTGCGTTGTCTGTGCTTCGGCCAGCGTGGCTAGTGAAGGCGCTGCAGTCTTAACGCGCGCCTCAGCTCGTTTCTTAGCTGGTTTTTTTGTTACTTTGGTATTGCTCGATATCTTCACTGGTCTATCTGCCTCGCAAGGCCGTGGCTCTTCAGGCGCAGGAGCTACACGAAGAAAATAGCAGGCAAAGCATAAATGATCAACGGCAAGAAAAATCAGTCAAAGGTCAATTTACTTTTGTTGTCAATGAGTCGGGAGGAGCGTCGCATGCTGGAGCGCGACGGCTCCATATTTGGTGGCTTCCTAGGTCGACCACGTCGCTGACCCGTGGTCATCGAGGGAGCAGGTTGAGCTGAAATTTGTACAGCAACACGTCCAGTCCTGGGCTGCTGTTGTTTCTTGGCGCTAAGATTCAGAGCAAAAAGAAGCGCGGGATCAAGATTACTGCTAGCTGGTTCCGGCTTTTCCAAATTACTTTGGACGCCTTCACTTGACTTGATTGGCATCGGATCCACTGGTTTGCTAGCCGATGTCTCCTGGTTCTTCTCTGGTCCACTTGAATTGTTCACTTTTTCTTCCTGGTCCGTTGTCACTCTTGCAAACTCCTTCTTAGGTGATTTATGTCCATGACTTATATTGGGATTCGCCAGCTTAGCTGTTTCGCGCATCGTTGAGAGCTTTTTGTTTACTTTTCTGGGACGCCCTTTTGGCGTAGTCTGCTGCTTAAACTTCGCCTTGACGCGCTCGCGCACCTCGGCCAAATCCATCATGCGCTGCTCAATAGACTCCTCTTTAGAGTTTATTGTTATCTGAGCTTTTACGTTCGGCACTAACTTCTCAGGCACTGGAGCAGGTGGAGCCATTTCACCACTTGTGTCAGCATCCACCGTAACCGTAGCTGCCGCAGCAGCTTCCTTGCTTGGTGTCAGCCAACTACGCAGGGGATAGCGCACCTCACCATCCTGGCTAACTAGTTGAGCTGGTTCACTGTCGATATCCAGCGGTGGAGCATCCAATGAACCGCAGGCAGCAGCTACCTTTAGCCACTCGTCGTCCTCAGTGCTGCTAATATCAGATAGATTTTCTAGCTCCAATAGTTTTATCGGTCGTGCAGGACTCACAGCGTTTGTCAATCTACCAGACATTGCCGAAGAGGCGGATGTATTTAGGCTGCTGTTACTGCTGCTGCCACTACTGGATGAGCTGCAGCTGCTGGAGGAGGTTGAGCTACTGCCACTCGAGTTGCTGCTAGAATGATCCACAACAGCATCAGGCAGTCCTGCCACTAGTTTATAGTGCGGAGTCTCTACCAACAATGTCGACGACTCCGCATTACCAGACAAGGCTGCGGCACCCTCAATACTGTCCACTGCCTCGCTGCCGAACGAGCGCACACGACGCAGCACCGTCGGCTCAACGGGCAACCGCTCAGCCTGTAGCTCAATGTAAGTTGTGGATTGTTTGGGTGCCTGTTCCACAAGGTCTCTGGGGGACGTGGATGGCAGAGCGCACTGTGCATTTGTGTCCGTATGCTCGGCCTCATCTGGTCGATAATAGGAGCTGCCGGCGGAGTATTCCGTTTTCGCCGCGCTGCTGTGCGGAGTGTTAAGCGCATGACCAAAGGGCGTCGTTAGACGCATGCCCGGCGTAATGGCTGTCAACATGGGCGTATCCAGTATGCTCTTTGTATCGCTGCCAAAAAGAAACGATGCAGATGGCAGCAGTTTAGCATAAGGCGTATCCATCAACATCGGCCCTGGCGTCGGCGGTATGTCACCATCAACTTCTGTTAGTGTCACCTTAAATGGCGTCTCCAAAAGAACCGCCATATTGGACATTTCACAATCTGTCGGCTTGTTCTTTGTATTCAGATTGCCAACTGCTGGCTGCGTCACAGGTTGTTGTGTTTGCTGCACAAACTCGAGCTGCTGCTCATGCTCTGACTTAACGATTTTTTTAGTTGGCTTGTATTCTTTGTGCTGATTGGACTCCTTGGGCCTAATGACTTCCTTCGGCTCGAGTATATCCTGGCTGACAACTTTCGGTTTTACTAGTGGCTTCTGTGGCGTTGTTATCTTTATGGTAAACTCGCCTTCAACATTGTTACTGCCTTTGGGTTCCCTTCTTCGCCTTTGGGTTCTCTTCTTTGAAATGAGCGGCGTGAGGGACACCGATAGGGCTAGGGCTTTCTTTTTGTTGGCCGCTACAGGTCTGTGGCGACGAACACGCGGTTTGCTTTGGAGCACCTCTTGGCGCTTTGCGTTGATCTCGCGTAAGCGCAACTCTAAGTCTGTGCTAGTGCTGTTCATCTGACGCTGCCAGGCGGCCAACAAATCATCCTTCTCCTTATTCAGTTCAGTCTTTTGCTCAGGCAGCTGAACGTGCTGTGTTGTTGGTAGCCGTTCATTCTCTTTGCTGTCATCTAATGAACTGGAAATTTCCTTATCCGCCTCCTGCTGGTCGTTTGCCTCGTCCCTTACTGCTGCCTGCGAAATAATGCGTTTACAGGCTTTGGTTGCAGCACGGCGCGTTTGCTTACGCTTGGGCGTGGCCACCATTGGGGTAGATGAGTTAGTTGCCAACTGCTTGGGTGCCGTGACTGCCTTAATCACCGTCTGATTGCTGCATTCCTCCATTGCAAAGAACGGCGGTACGCAACCATTGCTTTCGTTGCTACTAACATCGGCAGGTGTTCTTGTTGCAGCTGTAGCAGTACTTTCTGATGCTGCGACAGCTTCAGATGCATTCGTGGCTAGTGGGACGCTGTGAGTAGTACCAAAACTTGGCAGAATTTCCACACTCTTGATAATTAGTGTCTTCTCCGGTTGTACGCTGGTTTCTATCAATTCTTCAGCCTTTTTCCGTTTCCCTGTTTTGAGCTGCGTTCGCCGCTGAGTCTGCTGCTTCTGCTGTAGACGCCGCGTGGATAGCGGCGTGACACCCTGCATATGAGAGATTCCTTTCGGCGAGAAATTGAGCGTTCGTACATGTGAAGTGCGCTTGCGAGGTGTGGAAAGACTGCGAAATGCTTTAACATTCACAATGCCTGACGTGGAAGGTGTCACGCGTTCCAGGACTAGACGCGATGAGTCTAGCGAGGCAGGCACAGCACTCGCGCTGGCCACTTTGCTCGTAGAGCGCTCGAGTAGACTCGTACTTCCAGCCACTGCCTTAGCTTGATCGGCAATTAGTTGTGCCGGTGGTTCCACTGACGGCTCCTCCTCTGTTGTTGGAGGCTGTTTAACGGCGCTATTGATAATTATTGAATTGGGTGGCAGCTGATTGGCAGCAACTGTAATTGGTTCCGGCAGTGGTATCTCAATATGTGAAACGTCCATGTTAGTGAATGTATCAGAGCGCAGCTGCTGCGCCAACCACTCGTTATTCACCAGAAACGGCAAATGCGAAAGCAGCCCTTCATTTGATAGAAACATGGGAAAAGTTAGCTGACCATTGGTTGCGTCCACGCACACCTGGCCACCGTTTACAGCCGCGACACTGGCAACAGAGTCCGGATCTGCCATAGTAGAGCCATCAGCAAAGTTTATGAGATTCTCGCTACCAAAGCTGAGGTTTCCTGTCGGCTGCTGCTGGTGCTGCTTTTGTGCACTCTCGTTCGAGTTGAGCACTATGAGTTTGGATATACTGAAATTGGGATCAATCAGCGTGCCAATCGAGCTGTTTGCATTTAGAATGATGGCATTTCCACTGTTACCATTCCCCATATTAATATCTCCATTGGCATTCACAGACGCCGCTGCCGCATTCGCTGATGCCACCGCTGTACGAATTATAAGTGGTGTTTGCGGTGGTGCAGGCACAACTTCAGCTGTTGCTACTGGCACTGGTGCTTCTACTGCTGTGGGTATGGGCTCATCCGCAGATGTATCCATGCCTACCACTTCCTGAATGATGCGATCAAATGATGGGTCCTTCTCAGTGGCCTCCAATATATTTCTTACCAAACCATCTAGCACTGCCTCTGAGTTTACAGATTCTGCCGTGGGTGCATGTACCGTAAGTGATTGTAGAGCCGTGTTTATATTGCTTAGTAATTTATTTTGGAATTCGTGATTGGTCATGATGGCTTGCGTTATTTCCTGAAATTTCCAAATATGCTGTTATTATATACTCTTGCATATATATCTTAATTTATACGCTTTCTCACAGAATATCTTTGAGCTTACTTACTGGCATTGTCTGTGGCATTGGCATCATTAGCTCAGATTCTTCACTGGTGGTTATACGAGGAGTGGAATTATTTTTGGGTCCATGCCCATGGCGAAAATGTAGCGTATCATCTGTCTGTTCACTCGTAAAATCGCTGGTTGTGCTGCTGTCCAGCGATTGGTACTCCTCTATGTGATCGGTGCGTCCAATGCTGCAGTACAGATGCGGATCTAGTAGACGTGGACGTTTACAGTTAAAACGCTCTGAGGGTGATCGTGGGACTGGGTTCGCCTGCTCCCCATCCAATGGCAATGAATTTACGCGTCTAGTATTAAAAGCAGTGAGTACCTTCTGAAAAAAGGTAAATTTAAAGCTACTTACACGCGACGTCTCTTACGTGTGTGTTGTGTATTGGAATTCGTATTTTGCATACAAGCGGTACTATCTTTGTTGCATGTTGTTGATGTTGTTGTTGACCTATTCAGCTTGAATAGCTCGTCAACTCGCTCGGAGAGCTTCAGCTGCTGCAGGCGTTGGCGAGTGTCGTTTGGCAACTTTTTTACAGCATTGGCCACTGGAAAATGAACATCAGTCAAAAGAGATTTTATATTTGGAATGAGCTTTGATTTACCCATGCTGGTGATCTTGACGTGTTCTCGTATGATATCCTCTAGGCCGTCATTTAGAAAGTTGTGCGGCTGCAGGCCCTGTCGCAAGGCAATAAACTCCTGATGCAGATGCGGTGAGGTGCGACACAATGAGAGTGCCGCACGTCTCAAATTGTTATTTACAAAGTAGCCTGAAAATGCAGCAATAACTATTAATAAGGCATTTGATTTTACAATGCAAGAGTTGCAAACCCACCCAAAACGAGACGCGCGATATCCGAATGCAACACAATTGATTCCATTATAATTAATTAATAAAAACTATTAATAAATATTTTTTGTAGTATTGAAATTATCGTACATATTCGCAAGAACAAATATATGAATTATTTTTGTTTGTTTCCGTTGATTTCTTCTGTTCTTTTTGTTGCGTTATTCTACGCTTCTGTCCTTTTTTTTTTTTTTTTTTTATTGTTTTGCCGATTTCAACGTTGATGCCGATAATGTTGATAAAATTAGTTGGGTGTTTTCTGTCTATTTTTCTCAATTTGGTTTTTGTTGTTGCTTAAGGGCAAGCCAACTTGAATCCGGCATTTGTATATAAAGCGGATTCTATTTATTCTTCAATCATCGTCGCGCACTGTACAAGGTACCTAAACAACAGCATATGTTTGCCGCCAAAATGTCAATTTGCAGAGCTATCCCACAGATTCTATCGATGGTTAATTTAAAGTTATCGATATAGCTTTTTTAACAGCCAATCAGTTACTCTATAATATTGTATTATGTGATTAAAGTTCACTAGAGCTAATATTTATATATTATGATAAGAGTAAACTAATAATCTTGTTTTTTTTTAGGACTACTATAAATAACACTTTATTGCACAGCGATAACTTTTTAAACCTAATTGATCTGGCAACGCCTGATACTATCAGCAACTTCCAAGGGTTTTTATCTAAAATAAACACAAATGGCTGCTAACGCAGTTACAGCGGAAGAAAATGATGGCCAGGAGTGTAAAAAGCCTAATTCAACTGTTACTGAAGGTGAAGCAGTTGTCGCCTGCACACAACGCACAGTACCGACATCGGCAAAAACTGATGGTGGAGGACGCAAACGTAAACGCCACATTTTTAATGCAATTCGCGCACAAATGGAGTTTTATTTTGGCGACGCTAATCTCAGCAAGGATCGTTTTCTACGTCGCTACATAGAGAAGGATCCATGTAAGTAAACATGTAAAACTATGAATATATATGATAGATTATTGTTACTGTTTGTAGATGTGCCGCTGGAAATATTTCTGACATTCAATAAAATCAAAACACTTACTCAGGATGTGCAGCAAATATCAACGTCGCTGTCCAATTCTCATTTGCTGGAATTAGACGAAAGTGGACTCAAAGTCCGCCGCAAGACTGCGCTGCCGGAGCACCGGGACGTCAACAACAAAACCCTTTATGTTGAGGCTCTGCCAGCAACTGCAACACATGACTGGCTTAAGGAAGTTTTTGGCCGCTATGGCACGGTCAGCTATGTATCGCTGCCACATTATCCGGGCACGCGAAAGATAAAGGAATTTGCGTTTATCGAATTTGAAAAGAGCAGCTCCGTGGAAAAGGCTCTGAAAGCCTATTCTCAAATTCAGGGCGTTCTATCCGTGGAGCACACGGACCCCAGTAATTTGGCTAGCATAAGGTCCTTCCAGAAGCAGCAGCTCCAGCAAAAGAATAAAACTAGTTTGAATAGGCAAGAATCCGCATCGAAAACGAATGTCGTCAAGCAGCCAAGCAAACGTGAAGCTGATAAAGAAGATATACAGGAGGCCGTGCCAAACAAACGGGCCAGACTTGACACGGTACAAGATCAATGCGAAGCATCCACTGGAGAATTGTCTAAAGCAGAAAACTCTCAGCAAAGTGAATCGGACAATAACAGCGAGCAACGAGGAACGAGTAACGACGTTACGAAACAGAAGCGCCGTCGTAAGCAAAAGAAACGAATTCTTGCGGATAAACTTAAGCCAAACATTGAGCCCAGCGCGCTGGAATTAAAAATATTGCCCAAGACTAACTGGTGTAGCCTTCGCAACAAGTATCTCAATTTGCAGCGGCGCTTGGTTAGTGAAGCCAAGAGCAAACTTTGGCGCAGTACGCAGGTCCAACAACCAATGCACAAGTGCTCAGCTATGAACTTGCAGTTGCAAGCACAGCAGCAGCAGTTGATAGAGTCGAAGGGCATCTGTAACAGCGGTACTAGCAGTGGACATGAAGAGCCAGAACAGGTTAGCGATACTGGGGATGTATCGGAAGTGCCGGTGCCACCCAAGCGTCGAAAGCGCAACAAAACTGCTGGCGTTCATAAAATGAATATGAATTTTTATGGCGCCGGTGGCAACGAGACGGACGAAACTAAATTGGCGGGTCGAACTGAGGATCCGGCACAGGAACGCTCGCCGCTTTTTAAATACGAGCCGGGTCTCATTGTCGAGTGCACACTCCACGAACCGTGCGTTAACGTAAAGGACTTCAAGGCAGACATGCGTCAATACGCGGACATCAAGTATGTGGACATTAAAGAAGGCGACCAGGTTGCGCATTTACGCATGGTCACACCAAATGCCGCTGAAGAGTTGGTCCGTCAGCTCAGCTGTGCTGAAATTCAGCTCAAAGTGTTGCGCGGCCAGCCAGAAACGCAATACTGGCGTAAAATTGAACAGGATCGCGAAGCCAAATTGTCTAAGAAGGTGCGTGTGCAGCAAAAACGCGGTCGTGAAAAAGTCGCTAAGATGTTGGCCAAGCATATCAAGTTTGATGATGCTGTCTACGAGGTGATCCACGACCCGACTACAAGCGCCAGCATTCCATTAGATAATTAATGTAATTATCAAGTTTTGCAAAATATACAATGAACTGAATTCAAAGATATGTGTATGAATGCATAGAAATGTTTAACAAAAAGAGATTTATACATTTTATTTACATATATAGACAGTCTACTCTTATACATTTAGTAAACTGCCGAAGAACAGCATTTGAAGATATTTTCATACTTAGATATTTAAAATGTTGAGCACAATTTATTTTTATACCCTGAACCCATTTTCAATGGGAAATCAGGGTATAATGGTTTTGTTGAAATGTATGTAACAGGGAGAAGGAGGCGTGGCAGACCCCACAAAGTATATATATTATTGATCAGCACGACGAGCTAAGTCGATTTGGCCCTGTCCGTCCGTCCGTCCGTATGTATGAACGCGTCGATCTCAGAAGATATAAGAGCTAGAGACTTGAAATTTTTTTCCTAGGTCCGTGTATATCTCTATATAACTACTTCCGATATTTTATTATCGATCTGGCTAGTGTTATATCTATAGCATGCATATTTTAAATGTAGACATATGTATTTTATATAATTTCGATTTTTGTTGTAATTTACCCCCCACCACTATATCCACCCCCTCGCCCTCACCTTTATAAAAGGCGTATTTCAAGTACTAGAGACTTGTGCTTTGGAATGTACATACAGTTAAACATTATGATTATGTTCTGCCGAAAAGAAGTGCAGAGTGTTAGAATATCAGATTAGAGGGTTCAGGGGATCTCCTAGTCGAGCAGTCTCGACTAGAGTCTTCTTACTTGTTATGTCTAGAGATGCAGAAATATTTTTGTGGAAATTAGACAAAAGGTATTTATCTAAATTATAACTCAAATTTACTTAAACATTAATGTTTATCCATTTTAGATTAGTTTTCTTTCACTTATTAAGTTAAAATATTCGTCCGTAGTGTTCTTAATTTATAGATGATTTTAATACATGAAAGTGTCGCATGTTCCAAATTTAATTTGTATAAAACGCATTTTAGGTAATTCCCCCATCGGGGTTGTTCCTCGGATTAAATGTAGAGCGAACCATCAGCAGGGCCCAAGTAGTGCATAGATATCAGGAGAACATCGATGATTGTCCACACGCCGAGGCCACCAAAGCTGAACAGCTTGCCAATGCCCTCCTGCCAGTGGCCCAAATAAAAACGGTCGGCGCCAAAGCCGCCCAAAGTAAGGCTGATGAGTAACGCGGTGCTCCAGCGATAGCCCTGAGTCCAGTTACAGCGCAAATTACGAGTAAACGAACGGCTCCCCAGACAAAGCACATTCTGATGCACAGTGCAATTAGTGCGATAGTATTTCTCTGCAGCCGAGTTGCAATTGGCATGTTGTTCACAGTTCTGTTGCCACATTTCGGTTTGATAGCAATAGCGACAATTCATTTGACGTTGAAACGAGCGCTCTCCACTGCACTGTACATTGTTGGCTGCCTCGCATGTGATGTTGATATCGCGGCCGTACAGGCAATTGAAGTTGTAAGTGCAGCGAATGCATGGAAATGGCAACCGTTCACAGGGTGTTTCCTTATCCAAGGGGCATAGCATGTTCGTGATGTTGTTGCCGTTGTTGTTGTCGCCAGCTGCTGGAGATTTGCTGCCCAAATTCGCCAAGGCTGGTACAAACACTACATTATCGTTGTTATTGTTATTTCCTGAATTGCTGTTGTCCTTGCGTGGATCACCTTTCATATCCGCTAGATCCATTTGGTTGCCACCGCTGGCGGTTTCGCTGTTTTTTATGCCGGTCAATACGAATATGATGATTAGCACTATCGCCGAACGCATATTCACTACAATACACTCTCGCTGCTGTCCCATTTTTGCTAATAAGTGCTACTTTATAAGGCGAAGTTTTTCGGTTTGATTCCAGTTGTAAAAGCGATAGCAACCATTGCATCGATACAGTGATAGGTAATATAGTCGATGGTTTCGAAAATGGCATCGACATATTCGTTAATTGCGGTTGGGCACGCACATTTGCATAAACATTTGCATCAAAGTATGTATTAAATTTATTATTATTCTACTGAAACAATCT